TCGTTCGCAGCAATTACCCGGTCGTTCGCATTATTTGCCAGTAGTTGGCGTCAACCGCGTTAAGATGGTGGTACGTCCCTCGAATTGGTATCTGGTATCTCGGAAACGATGTCGCGTTGTGTGCTCAATTCCCTCCTCCTCTCCTTTCCCTGTTGGTTAAACTCTTCTCCTTCGGTGTTGGGTTTAACTTAGGCCTCGCTCCCCTACTCACCAAATGTGCAAATTGTGATTGAATTTTCCGCTAGAACATGGAAAGATACATCGGCATATCTTTTGTCTTCCGTGCGTGTCGAGAGTAGTGGAGCGAGGCCCTAACTTAGGTCTATTGTATAGCCCCTAAGTCACGGTAAACTGCTCATCGTCATCAGCAGGTTGCCACATATATAGTCCCATATCATTAGCTACTCGTCTTTCCCCGAATAGAACATACGGTCATTGTAGCCGTACTTGGCTCAGCTTTCTGTCCAGATGCAGCGAAAATGACCGTACGTTCTATTAGGGGGAAGAAGGTAAGATTGGGGACGATGGTGCTGGTAAAATGATAAATTCGCCATTCAGCGTCAACTTTCAAGAATAGTGGAAAAAGAGAGAGTACTGTGCGGTCGATATTTAGTACTGTGAGGTCGATATTACGATCATTATAGCCGCGTATTTGGCTCAGCTTTCTGTCCAGATGCAGCGAAAACGGCTGAGCGTTCTATTCGGGGGACGAAGGTAATATTGGGGACGATAGGGATGATAAAATGATAAATTCGGCATTCAGCGTCAATTTTCAAGAATAGTTAAAAAAGCGAGAGTACTGTGAGGCCGATATTATTGGTATGTTTCCACAGCATGGCACGCTCTACAGCGAAGCAGGACTTGTCGTTTATCTGCGTACAGCAAAAAAGGGGTGTGTACGGGTTAGGGTGCGTTAATCTGCTTACTTGGTATCTTCCTGCGGGTGGTATTACAGTAATTGGCAGGTATATTCCGCACTCTCTGGGTGGCAGCTGAGCGACAACGCACCCTAACCCGTACACACCCCTATTTTGCTGTTTTTCGAGCAACGAGCTATACAGCGTTTTTTTTTTTTTTTTTTTTTTTGTGTGTGTGGTCCGATGGACCACGGATCAGATATTAAACTGACGGCGAGCTATACAACG